GAGTGACAGGGGGCAGCGCCCCAACCCCCTGATCGGCCCTGCTCTGTGCGTGACAGGGGGTGGCGCTGCAACCTCCCCATCGACCCTGCCTTGAGTGTGACAGGGGGCGGTGCCCCAACCCCCCAATCGGCCCTACCCTGAGCGTGACTGAGGGTGGCATCGCAACCTTCTGATCCGCCCTGCTCTGTGCATGACATGGGGTGGCGCCCCAACTCCCCAATCGGCCCTGCTCTGAGCCTGACCAGGGGCTGCACCTAGGGACTGGGCGTGCCCTCTGCCACCCGAGAGCAGGCCTAAGCCAGCAGGTCATTATCTCCTGAGGGGTCCCAGACTGCGAGAGGGCACAGGCCGGGCTGGGGGACCCCCCTCCCCGCCGAGTGCACAAATTTTTGTGCACCGGGCCTCTAGTGTAATTATATATGTGTTTTCCGATGGTCTTAGGCGACCCCTGTGAAAGGGTGTTCGACCCCCAAATGGGTCGTGACACACAGGTTGAGAACCGCTGCTCTAAGGAGATGGAAAATGAGTTGGTTTTTGAAGGATAAATAAAGGTTATTCAAATGGACATTGAGAAGAAGGGTATTCATTCCTGCTCTGAGGAAACAGAGCAGGGAATGGATAAGAGAAAGTTGTTTCTTGGAGAAATAGGAGGTAATCAGAGGTACAGTTAACTTTGTAGGTGAAGAACACCTCCTAGTTAGCTTTTCTTTCCTCTGAAGTGTGAGGATGGTGGATTTTTCTTGGGGATAAATTGATGTAGAGTGTTCAAGGACAATTAAAGATTTGGAATAGCTACTGAGAGATAATGGAGAAAGCTAAGAATGAGTATCGTGGTAGGCAATGTGGAGACCCAGTTTAAATTAGAGACTATGAATTAACATGTAATACTCTTTCAGAGTTTAGTATCCTTGATGTTAGATTGAAAAAGAATATAATAAAAGAAGATTGCAAACAGAAAAAAGAAAAAGAATAGATGGTGATTTTTAAAAAATTAAATGGTTATATGGCATAAAGATAAAGGGTGCAAGAGTTGAAGATATTAGAAAAAGTAGTCAAAGTGATGGTTCAAATTGTCTCGCTAAGTGCTTCTTACTAGGAACACTATTCAGTTTTGTGGTGTGGTACTGAATGTTGTAGGATGATAAGCATGCTAGGCCTGTGCTGGCTTATTGTCAGGGGAACCCTTCTGTCTTTATGACAACCAAAACCACACCTACACATTTTCATACTGCTCCTCTCCCAGGGTAGTGAACCACTGGCTAGAGTAAGTAGGAAAGAAAGCCAGGATGGCCCTGGCTGGTTTGGCTCAGTGGATAGAGCGTTGGCCTGCGGACTGAAGGGTCCCAGGTTCGATTTCGGTCAAGGGCATGTACCTTGGTTGCGGGCACATCCCCAGTGGGGAATGTGCAGGAGGCAGCTGATCAATGTTTCTCTCTCATCGATGTTTCTAACTCTCTATCCCTCTCCCCTCCTCTCTGTAAAAAAGCAATAAAATATATTTTTTTAAAAAAATTAAGCCAGGATGAAGCAAAATATCTTAGCCTAAACTGCAGTGATGGCGAACCTATGACACGCGTGTCAGAGGTGACACGCGAACTCATTTTTTTGGTTGATTTTTCTTTGTTAAATGACATTTAAATATATAAAATAAATATCAAAAATATAAGTCTTTGTTTTACTATGGTTGCAAATATCAAAAAATTTCTATATGTGACACGGCACCAGAGTTAAGTTAGGGTTTTCCAAAATGCTGACATGCCGAGCTCAAAAGGTTCGCCATCACTGACCTA